ATAACTTTAAAAGATTCAATTGCCTGTAAACCACTTAATAGGCTTGATATATCTTCTGCAATTATACTTCTGATTGCTTTTAGGATTTTGATACTTGAAAGAAAGACTGTGTAATCAAGCAGCTATATAAACTATGCCAGAATTTTGTTCTTATATAGAAGAGCCATTCAATCTCTCTCCCCTCCTTCTTGCCTGCCTAAGTTTTGTCTCTCAAACTATCAAGAACATCTACAATGGTTTCCATAATGCACTGCTTTATAAATACTTTCCCTGAGTGTTTTGTTATGAAGAATGCAAATATAATACCTGAAATCAATTGCATTCAGTCCCAACAGCATACCAGCAAGCATATTGGCCTCTTCACCAAGAACAATTGCTCCATCCTCATAAAATCTCCTTCAATAAAGAAGACATTAGTTCAGTTAATACTGTTTTTTCAATAATAATAATAATAGTAATAACAATAATATTAGTAATGCTTTTTATAGTTAACAGAAAACTGAAGAAATGCAGGTAAAGAAAAACAACTTATGTGACCCCCAGGGGCATTCATATGTCATTTGAAATAAAGTAAATCAACAGGCTGCACAGCATAAAATAGCACAATCTTAGAGTTTAAACAGAAGCAAAAAGAATATACAATATACAATATAAGCCCTAAGAATCCTGTAGTAGAACAGGATGGAAACAAATGCAAAATAATTATGAAGATAGCTTATACTTTGTATACTCATAATTTGTGTCACATACATAAAAAAGCCAATAACCATTCTGTTACATAAAAAAAGGTTCTGTCTCACAATTGTACTTGCAGGCCCTTTTCACTCTTCACTGCTAGTAGTTGATTATTTGTTTAAAAGACATTTTCACAAATCAGGTATTTTCCAGGCATCCTGGTCTGAGCTAAACCAGAACCAATTCTGTTCAGTGGTGTTATTCTTCAGCTTAGTCTCTTCTAAGAGACTGCACTTTCTGAAGTTAACAGCGTGGTTTTGCAGACAGTGGCTGCTACTATAAATGATAACACCTGGTGTTCCTAGTTGCTATCAGGGATTGGGATGCAGAAAGGCTCTTGCTTATACTTGGTCCTATAGTGACCAAGGTCACTGCTAAATCTTGTGTAACACACTGGAGTTCTGCCAGTAAAAGGATTGCGAGGAAGTAAAAAAGTCACGCTTTTGTGGAGAAGCAGACAGGACGGGTGACCCAAAATTGACCAAAGCAGTATTCCATTTCATATACATCATGTTTAGTATAAATCACAGGGGTCAAGCCCTCTTCTTCAATGGCCAGCATCCAAGGAGGACTGTGTTCTTCTGCAAGTTTGGATTTTAGTACGGCAAGGTTTTGGAAAGCAGGGAGTGGAGCTGTGTGGGATGATTCTTGTGAAACTTTGAGAGTCTCCTCCACTCCCAGGTAGGATTTGGACCTGCCTGAGGCCAGGGCCAGGCCAGTCAGCGCCTCTTGTGATCAAGGTATTTAAGAAGCGAGTCCACTATTCTCTGTCTCTTTTGGTTTCATTCTATCTTGATCTCTCCCATCTTTCTGTTGGGGGGCTTTTCCTGCTGGAGGAGGCGAGAGGAGAAGAAAGATGAGGAGGAGGATCCTGGAGCACAAAGAGAGGGAAAACACTGCCGGAGCAGAAAGATTCCCTGGAGCCCCATGGTGGTTGAGATGGCAGGAAGGTGATTGCCTGTCAGGTAGGGGGATCGATGGCGGCAAGAACGTCTAGGATGCAGCAGTACATGCAGAGCCCAAGCATCAGCGGGGGACATGCCTAAAGCAAACCGTGGCCCTGATGGACTCACAAGGAGGAAGAGGACTGCCTCCAGTGAGCTGGACACCACATTGCATGAAGGAGAAACTGAGAGGAGCTCTCTTTCTCAAGGAGGAGCTCCCGTCCCTTGTACCAATGGTGGGGGAGGAAGTAGCCAGGAAGATGGTGGGCAGTGGTGGGCAGTGTATTTAAAACTGCGTTGTATTTATTTATGTGTTCCTCTTACTATCCTACCAATCATTTCTAAATGGTAGATTATTACCCTCTCTGTCCTTGACCTCAATCCTTGAGGCTTTCTTTTGGTTGAGTTTTCTTCCTCCACATCCCTGTGGAGATGGGGGTGGGGGGAGGAGGGAAGGAGTGATCTCATGGTTCTCTGTGGTCTGCCCGGGCAGTCAGCTTGAACCATGACATGTCCTTAGTCCTGATGAGGTCATTGAGTCTGGTTCCTGAATCCTGTTCCCATCTGTTGCAGAATCCAGCCTAGGACCTTCCTGGTACTTTGCTTGCTCTGCAGCATCAGTGGTGATTGCCACAGAGTGGGGTGGGGGAGTAAGAGGTTGGGAGGATGTCATGTTTGATATTGGTTTTGTATAGATTTTATTATTTCCTTTATTACTAGCATAATTGCTTCATTAAAGTTGTTTCAGTTTTCCAATCCTTAAGTTTCTCTGCCTTATTCCCTTTTCCTTTCCCCTTTGGGGAGGGAGAGGGGTTAGTAGGGAGCATCTGCCATTTGTTTAGTGGCTGGCCCAGCCCTAATACTTGACACCAGGTAGCATACTTTTCTTAAAATACTGCATCCTGGGAAGATGCAATACATCATCCAGTTATTCTGAGATTTAAAATATTCATTATTTGAAGGAGTGTTTTCTTAACACCATTTTTTTACAGTAAAACACCTATTGGTCAAAATTTTAAAACTCCATGCCTTGATGTCAAAATACACTTCACATACCCTGGTACATGCAGACTTGTGAAGACTGCTTGAGGATAGTGACCAACAAAGCAACACCTTTTAAATCCGTATTTCCTCACCACTTCCCCATTTTCTCCCATTTTTTCTTCTCCCAGCTACCAGAGAAGCTAATTCCAGAAAGAAAAGTCCCATACACAGGGCAGGCAAATAGAACCCACCATCGCCATGCATGGCCTTCTAAAGAAGGCATTTGGTCTGCTTAGCAAAGTAGCATGCAACTTTAATTTCTGTGTTAAAGGAACCTTGGCAGCAGCAGAGGCAGAAAGGTCATGAGAATTCAGCGAAGAATTACATGTGTAAAGAGGGAAATCAAGAGCTGTTCAGTACCAACAGCAAGGTTGAAAGGTTCCTTACCAGAAACCAAGATGACAGTCCACCTATACATTCTAGCAGTGTACGATTGCAAGGAAGTGTCAGGTTACTGAATGTAACTTATTTTTCAAATACCAGCAACACTTCTGTACCAAAACCTCCATCCGTTTTAAGAACTACATGAAAATATTGGGATGGCTCAGTGAGAACTCAAGTTGGCTGCAATGCAAACATCCAGAAAAGACACATTTTGGAGCACAGCTCCAAAGGTACAACTGTGTTATAATGCACACTGTCAAAAGTCCCACTTTTGCAGTTTTATAACAGATGTCCATTTGCTGTAAGGAAATGAGTTGTCCAAGACCTTGGATGTTCTCAGTAGAAGCAAGAAATCTGGAAGACTTCCTCTGGAAAGACAGAGATTATAGACCCAACACTGAGGCTATTATGCCCAGACCCTGGTCTCTACTCTCTGACTTCAGGAAGGGCACCAGGAGATTAAATTGGTCACTGGTTGAGACAGAATACTGAGTGGGATGGAGTTTATGGCCTGATTCCAGATGGACTTTATGGTCTTATGGATGGACTTTGCGGTCTACTGGAAAGCAAACCCATGGAGAAAGACCTCGGAGTTCTAGCGGACAGTAAGTTTTCCATGGGACGGCAATGTGCCCTTGTGACCAAGAGGGCCAATGGGATCCTGGGGTGCATTAAGAAAAGTGTGTCCAGCAGGTCTAGGAAGGTTCGCCTCCCCCTCTGCTCTGCCCTGCTGAGACCACACCTGGAATATTGTGTCCAGTTTTGGGCTCCCCAATTCAAGAGAGACAGGGACCTATAGGAAAGAGTCCAACAAAGAGCTACAATTAAGGTACTTGAATGTCTCTCCTATTAAGAGAGACTGAGAGAATTGGGGCTGTTTAGCCTTGAAAGGAGACAGCTGAGAGGGTACCTTATTAACGTATATAAATATCTGAGGGGTGGGTGTCAAGGGAAAGGAGACAATCGCTTCTCAGTGGTGCCCAGCAATAGAACAAGAAATAATGGGTTTAAGTTAGAACATAGGAAATTCCACCTCAACATGAGGAGAAACTTCTTCACTGTGAGGGTGACGGAGCACTGGCACAGGCTGCCCAGAGAGGTTGTGGAGTCTCCTTCTCTGGAGGCTTTCAAAACCTGCCTGGACGTGTTCCTGTGTGGCCTGCCCCAGGGCATCTGCTCTGGCAGGGGGGTTGGACTAAACAATCTCTAGAGGTCCCTTCCAACTCCTAACATTATATGATTCAGTAGTTACTTGTGAACTAAAAGCAATGCTTCCAGTACAAGCAGATGACAAACCATTTCACTGGCATTTGTAAAATCACTGCCAGGTACCAATCTGTACTGTGTTCAGTTTATCTGATAAAATGGTGTCTAGGAAACAATCACACTCAAAAGACAGGGAATACATGTAACAGTGAGACTCAAACTTTAGCATGACAGCAGTAATGTTTTCTTAAATCTGCTACAGTAATCCAGCCAAAACAATAGCCGGCTTGGAAAACTCACAGATTCTTTCAGTGCTATGCAGCTGACATCTCACAACAGAAGAGTCTACTTAAGAGTCCTGCTGAGAAATTTGTTAGAAAAACAATTGTGTGCCTGTGCTTTATCCAACCCCTTTCCAGGTGTAATATGCAGATCCCTCACTAATAATGTGCTGCTTCATTAAAGCACTAGCACTAAGATCAGGAACCTAAAAAAACAGTGAAGTTTAAAAAGAGCTAGCATTATGATAGATGAGTCTTGTATTCCATATACACATGCAACATATGATATTTATAGTTTATATCAAAAATTATTAAATATATTGAACAATACATAACTTTAAATGCTAAATAAGTGGTGCAAAGCATGAAAGCATCTGAAATCCTAAATGGGAAAAGAGAGTGTGTCCATTACTGCTAGTGGATCTGAAATCTATGCTAACAAGATCTGGAACTGCAACTTTTTTCCATTAGATGTATTCAAAATGTTACTTTAAAATAAAATTTGCACTTACTATGTTTGAAATGCAAGTAAGGTTATTCCCAAAAGCTACACCATGAAAAGGACATTCAAGTACATTCAAAATTAACATGTTCAATTAAACAAATTTGCAATTGCTAATAAAATAACATCACTGTTTTCCACTAGCAAACAAAAGACACTACCAAACAGGGACAAAGAATGTATTACTTAACTACACAGTTTGTGACCCCCCTCCCCTTCCTCCTTATCCTCCCCTCAAAAAAACAAGTGACTTTTCAGTTTCAGGCAACATGACTAAACCTTTTCCAGAAATCTTTGTTTTAAGAGCTTCTTGTCTGCTGTAAATGCAAGTAAATCTGGATAAAATGAAGATGAAAGGTCCGGAAACATCAATAAAATGGGATGTTTACCTAGCTGTGTCTCAAACTCACCTTAATATTTGCAAAGTATATAAAGATCTGTTGACAAATAGTATTACAAACAGAAATAATATTCTAAATGAACAGAAGTCCTTACAGAGGAATTCTTATTGTTTAAATAGTCCATTTGGTATGTTTAAAACTTTTAGAGTTCAACATAAGGTACCACAACATGTTATCAACTTGTTCATGTTTAGCTTACTTTTTCACAAATCTACAAGACACATTTGTTACACAATAAAGCATCATATAATTATCACATTATCTGGAACCACTCCAAAACTGCCAGAGTATTTTCTATCACAAAGCATATTCTGGTTGATAACAGCCTTTACCATCAAAAGTTATAACAAAAATCTGTTACATATTTTTCGTACATTCTAGACACACCTGATCACTAATTCTGCTCTGCTCTGTTTCTCTAAAGGTTCCTGGAATTATCTTCCTTTCTTCAAGAAAAGTTCCTATAAAAAATATTTTTTACTGAGTCTCTAGGGTTTGTCAACAATTCCTAATTTTGGAAGGAACATTACTTCTTCTATCCTTATCACACTACAATTTGAGAATTACTTCCTTCTTCAGAGAGCTATTCTCTTCTGACCTTCCAAGAATTCCAGACTTATTCCCACAAAGGGAGTTTCAGTTTTGCAGTTTTATCCATGGATTTTAATCCAATCAGTTGATACCCACTCTAGATATCTTTTACTAGGTTACAGCTTTTACTAGTGACACTCTCTCCTATACAAATCAGGGTGGGAAGTGAATGTTCCACCTTAATTCCTCACTTAAGCAACATTTGCCCAATATTGTAAAAATAAAAGTCTTAGAGACCTGGTTGTTTTGAAGTCTCTCAGAGCTGTGGAAATGTATTCAGACAAATGCTTTTCCATAAGTGCTACTCTGATCCAGGCTCGACCCTGCAAGAACAAACAGATATTGAATATTTAAATCTTACTGAATAAAACAATTTTACATCTGAAAATGAATAGAATTGATTTATTTGGGAGAAATGAACTGATTAACAAAGTTACCACTAAGCAGAAACTGTTGCTAAGATGTACTTCATTACAGCAATAATGAAAATAGAAAATGTATTCTTACAAATAAACTTTGTTGTGAAATAAAGTTCTCCAAAGCTTGGGGGGAAAAAAAAAAGGAAAATATTTTGCTTTAATTATATACACCAACCTTTTGAAAAGCTCACGTGCATAAGTGGTAGCATATCAGGGCAGAAAGATTTTAATTTTAAAGACAATGGTATTGGAAGCAGTCAATTGGTTCCACAGTAGAGCAACAGTAACCTACCCTCAAGGTGATTTAAATAAGAACTAACTCACTATGTTAATTCAAATATTTGTGGGATTAATTAAAAAGAAATCATAACTCAGTGATGTATTTTTATTATGTAATTTGTTTTTATTTTCCCTTCAGTAAAGATGTCATTACAGAAGGTGCACATAATACACAGGAATGAAATCAAATCTAAAAATGAAATCAAATCTAAAAATTTGTAGTCCAAAAGCAAAACTTCATTCAAACAGTTGTATAAATAACAGCAATAGCTTCAAAATCCAAAAACTTTCAGAATGTATGTTGCAGGTCTAGTGCACAAGACTGTAGTTTAGAAGAAAGAGACATTTCAAATGGCTACCACAGCTATGACTGCCAGTTTGAGAGCACCAGGAACATTTCTTGTAACCCATATAAACTTACAAATAGTTACATAAGTAGCATCTTTCTGCTTAATATATTTAGTGTTTATTGTATGAATATCACTGCAGACATTCTCCCAAAACCACCTGTAGTAGATTATAATCCTAATTTTAATTTATATAGACCTAAATGAAACCAAATTTATAAAAAGGTAGGCAGATGCCAAATAAAAAAGTGCCCCAGCTTTTATAGATACCGGCAACACAGCAAAAGCTTTAACACAGAGTGCACTAAAATTAGAAGGATAGTTATAGGGATAGCTGCCTTTACACCGCTGTCATTTAGAACACGAGTGAAACTCAAAGCCTGATGCTGCTGCTTAGGTAACAACTGAACCCTGTGCAGCTCCAGGGAAAGAAGGGCCAACTAGCACTGGCAAACCCTTACTAACAGCAGACACCCGTTTGGACCACCAGTAAAACTGATGCTTACCACTGGTATTTGCATCAACACGCCTCCAACCTTTTCAGATACGAGCATCCAAAGTACTCCCATATGCACCTTTAAAAATTCAACACCTCTCTCCACACTCACTGCACAAATTAGCTTCTTCACTTACTATTTGGCGTGGAGTTCTCCGCAGAGGAAAAGAAAATTTTAATTTATTTATAAGAGTGTTTCAGAAAATAGCTTTGCATCTTACTATCTCCTGAAATTAAACATTCATATCTGTTAAAAACTTGGAATTTAGAAATACTTGTAAAATAAATCTTGAATATAAGCAATACAATCATCAGATTCTAGAACATGAGTCGTCTTCTGGAAAGTATTTGGAGAAGTATCGGGAAAGTATTGCTGGAGAAGGTACAGAGAAGGGCAACCAGAATGATTGAGAGGCTGAAGGAGCTGGGGCTGTTCAGCTGGAGAAGAGGAGGCTGAGGAGAGACCTTATTTCTCTCTACAACTCTCTGAAAGGCAGCTGCAGTGAGACGGGTGTTGGCCTCTCCTCCCTAGTGAACAGTGACAGGACAAGAGGGAAGGGGTTCAAGTTGCACCAGGGGAAGTTTAGATTGGATATTAGGAAAAACTTCTTCACAGAAAGGGTGGTGAAGCACTGGAATGGGTTCCTGAGGGAGGTGGTGGAGTCACCATCCCTGGACGTGTTTAAGAAACAGCTGGATGTGGCACTTCAGGAGATGGTTTAGAGTTAGGGTGTAGGGCTGTAGGTTGGACTTGATCTTAAGGTCCTTTCCAACCTTTATGATTCTAAGCCAGAAGGTTCTCCATGATCAACCAAGGTTGCTTTACACAGAAATATAAGCTATTGAAACATACTCCAATCTAGTAAAAAGAGCTTGAAATATTTGTGCAATAGTATTTTATTTTTATTTTTTTTAAGTTGCTGGTCTATACTGTCTCACACTGTTAATATTTAATGATAGATCAGTTGAAAGCTTATTCTTATTCAGATCATAGGCATATAAACACCTTAAATTATTTCCTTTATGTTTCCATTTTACCTACAATCAGAAATCGTGGATATTTTTATAGAGATCCCTTAAAACAAAGGATTCTTATTAACAAATAAATCTATTAAAGGCTTCCTGCACAATCACATCTTTTATATTAATGCATAAATTACATACAAAATAAAATGATACTTAGGTTAGGGGAAAAATTTATCACATTTACACAACTTTAAAATAATATTTGTTAGGCATGCCTGCATGAACTTAACTTCCCTCAGATATTACACTTTCAAAATCTAAGTTTGAAAATGTGAATGCAATCATTTTGTAATACAACACACTCACTGAATAGAGAATTTGAGATTTATTCAACTGAATAAATTTAAAAGGAACCATATTCAGATTTAAAAGTGGCTTTTTCAAAAATAAATATTTACTAGGTACATTATGAAAAATAATTATTTAAAACAATTAAAAATTTCATGGGACAAGCTTAGTAACATGTTTTTCTTCTGAGTACAAAAATGTCAGCTATAGATTACACAGAAGAAACAATGTAATAAAAGAGTCAATTTGACCTTTTTCTTCCCTACCTTGGCTCTAGAAGAACCGACATTCTCCATGTTCTCAATACTGCAGATGCAATTGTGAGAGACTTTTCGGCAAGCTACTCGAATGTAGTCCCAGAAACTACGAGGACTTTCATAGCCGAACCAGGTGATCTGACCTTAAATCAAAATACAAGATATGTAAAGATTTATGAACCTCCCTCTCTGCTTAGTTGAGATAAACATAATTAAAACACTTCCCTAAAGGCTGCCTGCGCTGACAGAATTTTATACTGAAAAATTGTTCACAGTTGTAAAAGAAAAAAAATAAAATTGCCCTAGTTTGAAATTGATGGACAAAGTTTGGGGGTTTTGCGTACATGCATATTTTGTTGTTTATTTCCTTGTTAATACGCTATAAGAATATTCAAGAGTTCTTCATCTAAATTGCTATAGAGTACTATAGTGGTTTGAGCTAGAATCGAACTAATTTTCTGTTCAGTGATTTTACTTTTCAGCTCTTTTAAGTGACTATACTTTCTGATATGATGCAAGAAGTATTTCTGTTATTTGCTTTAGGTAGTACTGCATATTTCACTACTAAAGTCAAGTAAAGAGAGTTTTGTTCTTTAAAATAAATAAATATATTTTTAAAAACGTAAAAAAAAGGATCATTGTTTGCTGTTACAGTATTATCTTTATCTTAGGAGCTGATTGGTATTTTTCAAAATGTGCTTTCATTGAAGGAGAAGTTGATGCATGATCAAAAACGTTTTGCAGTCACAATTTATTCTGAGTACTCAGAGAGCATTCCTTGGGAAGTCGACCAAAATTAAATTAAGCAAGTCAACATTTCTTCTGCTGCTTTAACCAAAATCCTTCATATTTTTTTCCAGCTTGGAATGTATTGCACTTAGAAAACAAAAGGCAAAATTACATGTTACCTGCAAACACTCTATACAATAAATTTAATCACAGACACATCCATTGGGCTCCATCTTTCAGACTGAGCAGCACACGGCTGCCAGCAGGTGTGTAAACGGCAGGATGAATATTGCCCTCTGGTGACGGCCATTATTACACATGTGCAAAACCTTTTCTCCATGTAAAATGAGATCTTGCACTTGTGAAATGAGATCACTTGCACTTGTGAAGCTTTACTAATTTATCAGAAGAACTTCAGTTCTTTTGCTGCTAGAAAGCTCAGATTTCAAGAAAGAATATATTTGACTGATACTGGAAATCATACATAGCAAACATAAAATGCCAAAATTTGACTACAAGGATTATTTTTATGTAGCACGACTTAGCTCCAAGTACAGCCAGAGTAATATCACAGATCTGTCCCTTGTGAACTTAAAAAATTCAGGCGGTGTTTTTTGCCCTAGAGGGTACATGTAACTTGACTTTATCACCCATTTCCTTACTTTGCCACATGGATTTACTTATTGAATTCAAAACTTGATAAAAGACTTACCAAAAAAACAACAAAAAAAAGAAAGCAGGAAGAATTAATACATATTATTTTTGTCAAAGGAAAAACAAAATCCCAAGGTGATTCAGTTACTGTACATTCAGAGCCTCTTAGCTCAAGGACTAAAATAAAAGAATTTCCATGAGGTAAGCGCTCTTACACACTTACTATTTTTGTTGAAATACCAAGCGTAGCAGACAGCAACGTGAATTCAACGGCATTTTAAAAACATGAAAAGCTGCAGATATTTTTCCTATTCTTTACCATATCAGAAACAGATCTACCCTGGGGTTTATACCTGCAAAATTAAATGCAACTCAAGTGTGAACATGACTTTGTGTCACCAATTCCAGTGCCAACTAAGAATGCAAGCATAATACAATTACTTTTGTGACTTTTCCAAACTGTCTTACAGACAGAATTTATTCTGCAAAAAATTTGACACAGTTTCACTCTCAAGTTTTCTGAAGTAACTAATTCAAAACAATTCCTTTTACCAACAAACACCTGAAAAACATGTCATTTAAAATCAAGAATACATTTATAACAGAAATACATACCCGCACACAGCACTTGTGGCTTACACTGATCAGCAAAGCAAACGACATAACTACAAGATACACTGAAATAACAGTGGGTTCTCATCTTGCACCCAGCTCTGTGAGAG